TTTTAAACCAGAATCATGCTGTAAATGTGCACGTTGTTACAGTATAGCCTTTTATCATGCTGCCACTATTTCAGTCACGTTCCCTGTATCCAATAACAGTACTAAATGATTTTTTTTTGGTGCAAAACAGGAACCAGACTATTTTGCTTCCAATAGCCTTTCTTTGGTTACGTTGATTTGAATGGGAAAAAAATCAAGATGGCCGCAACATCATAATGGTCTATTCGTTGCGCAAAATCCTCACTCGTGGCGCAAACCATGCAGCGCAGGCGTAACATATCATTCACGAACTGGGGTCTATGACAGGTGCGCATGCATTGTGCGCACAAGTGGGCGTTAACCTGGTCACGTTACACGAATCCATCTAATCAGAGCTCAAAGATATTGAAGGACCCGCCCACCAAGCTTAGGCATATAGATGATGGGGCTATGTTGCGCTTCGCCACTAGATCACTCACAAAACAAACCAAGAAATCCTCAGATCCCTATAATCAAACCAAATTAGTTAACGCATGAAAATAAATGTATATCGAAATCTCGGTTTTATTTATATTTTATGCAGGCTTGACCGCACAGGAGACTTTAGTGCAACATGGGTATCAATCAGAGGACGTGGCACGAGGGGATGGTGCGGATTTTCCCGGCCGTTTTCGGGTCAATTACGCCGATGGCGAGATCGACGTGAGACGAGAAGGGAGCAAGGCTTCTCTGGTTCACTATGAACACACGCACCATCACCGTCATGAGATCTATAGCACTGAACTGCTGCTGAATTCTGACGGCCATGTTAAGTGGCAGATCTACACGCCATGCGTATAGCTCCCCTCCCCTCCCTTATGTCTAATTTGTCCCCGCCCACAGGGTGGGAAGACTAAACCAAGCACCAGGGACCGATTTCAGCAACACCATAAATTGGTGCATTTGGCGTTCCATAATCAGGGATCTCATATCAGCACAGCACTTTGCTTAGCATAGTTTGGTATAGGGGTTACCAGCCAAGATGTCATGCATTTCACATATCTCTTGTGACTGGTACTCGACTAGTTCATGCTCAGCATATTGATTGTGTTTGATTCTTGACTAATTCATATATATATTCTCCTTTGTCATTGGGTGTGATTTTAGACCTATGAGAAGTTGCGACTAAATTATTTGTGTGTATAGCACCACGGCAACATTTTAAAAAAAAAGCCATTGCAATCTCTAAAGTGTATCGCCACAAATGTCAGAAATTTAATTTGATTGTAAAAATTGTGAACGCTAGCAGTGAGCATAATAGTGCTTTTAAAAACATTAAATTTGAACACAGTGTTTTGTTTTAACAGAGCAGACGGGCGTATATAGATATATATCTATTATTATTTTTTGAATACCAAACGTGGGATGCTGCATAGCACTGTAGCACTGTTTAGCATAGCAAAATGTGAATAACAGAAGTGAAACAGTGCTCACAGATAGTTGTATTTAAATAGCCTTATATTATACAGCATATTGACAAATTAGAAAGAGGCTCAACCAGTCAACAGTTTAACTTTTACGAGACTTAACAGAAGTATAGCATAGTATTTGTTTTCAACAAAATATCGTGTGGTACAAAAAAGTGTTATTATCAATTATCATTCAACCCTTGTACTTATATTTAGCAACAATGAACATTTGACTGTGATCTTTTGATGTAAATAAATAACGCATTTCTTCATTAGTGAAATAAGGTGCCAAATTTGTCATGCAATGATTTATTACCCCAAGGCATCGCACCATAAAGAGGGAGGAAACGAGGCGGCCAGCAGTCTTGACCTCCGCCAAGCAAAATGTGCATCAAACATGACATAGGCAGGCACTATATCCAATACCACTTGCGTTAAGACACTGGTGGTATACTTAACGACAATATTCGTCTCAATACCAACAAAAATGACCGAAATCGTTTGTGTGGAGAAGAAAAAATTCGATGCTGGGATTCGAACTCCGAACTCTTGCATAGTATTCAACGCTTATACTGCGGTGTGCATTGTTCTTGAATTACTATACGCCCGAGGACAATGCTTTGCGTTTCCATTTTTCCTTTGATATAACAATCTTCCATAGACGCAGCTTACAAACCTACTAAAGAGGACTGTTTTGAACAAAAGACCCAACTCCCGAGGACTGAAAGGATCCGTTGTTCTCCCTTTGTGTGTCTGTCCTCGGGGGTTATGTAGAACACGTATACTCCCAGACACACTTTTTTTTACCTGGGGGATATGCCATTGGATTCCCCCCCCCCCCCCCCTTTTCAAGATTTTTGGGTTGAGAAACAAATAATGCCAATTTGAAGGTGATTTTCTAACTTTCCAACCTGAGCCCAATAGCACTGGAAAACGGAGAATGAACAGCACGAAACCTTATGCATGCACCTTACTAGCAGGCACAGACTTACGCAACTGGCGCATGGTTTGTGCTATGTAGTATAATCCTTGCTATAATTTGGCGTTTTTTATATAAAGTGACATTGATATCCCATTGTCATCATTGTCCCTGAAAACCAATTTACCGATATCAAAACTGACAGACAATGACCGATTTTATGAAAATTATGAAAATAAAACAAATTTATACGTAAACACGTTCACTCGGTTTGTGCGTGGAAAAGTGACAGTAGAGGAACTCTGAGCTTATTACTTTTCTATGTAGATGTACAGGGTGGTTGTCAAAAATGACGTGCCTCTCTCTCGGTCGGTTAATTGTCGTCATATTATAATATTTTGGGAGTTATTTTACCATCACGCCAAATTAATAATAGCGCTATATCCATGCACGAGACAGCATTCCGTTCTTAAAGAGTGAACACTTTGGGACGGACAGTTCAGTCTGCGGTAGCACGGTACGGGCTTGTTTACACTCGTCCATTCGCTAAAAATGAACTTAATTGTTGATCCAATTCGTCTTTGCTGCAATACTCAGTGCAATTCTTTTCAATCTGTGAGATGGACTTTAATTAGATCTTTTATGCCAACAACAAAAATATCCGTTTTGTTTTAAAAGTGCCAGAATTTCTAGACGTGCCAGAATGCTGTTGATGGCTTTAGGCCTAAGGCACAGATTTACCATGTTGTTATTAATGAGAATTGGCCATGACTTCGTACCGTATCGACTTGAAATCTGGATTCAAAGTATTAATATTCAAGGGAAGAAATTTGTCCACTTGAATGGGCGGTATGTAAGGTGTTTTATCAACCGTAAGACCGGACACGTGACGGGCTCTCGGCCAATAGGAAAGGGTAAACTGTCTTAGGTACTTATGAATGTACTGTAAAATGTCCAATTTGTAATAATGACGTAGTTAATATTTGAGTTGTTAACATACTGAAGAGAAGTTATACATTTTAATAAGTATCATGTATTATTCACTACTGCAAACCAAGCATTATTATCTGTTCTGAAGTAGCCTAATGACAAATTGTATAAATTCCTCACACTTTTAATGTGCGCTCCTTGTCTGTGAGCACTGTGAAACAATCCAGTATGGTCTTAGAGTCAGTGTATTTCACAAATAAATAAAGAACACTTTATCTAACTCTATATGCATGGTCCAGAAAATAACGAAGGTGAACATAACAGTTGGGGCAATTTGTTTAAGATTTCAACAACATCCCCAGTGTATGGCGTGCAAATTTAACATTTAATCTCGAAAGAGAGATATCTCTATTTCTAATAGAGATATCGGTATTTATAAAAGCGATCTGTTTTAAATAGACAGAGAGAGGTATCTCTATTTAATATACAAATATTTGAAATACATGTAATAAGAGGGGAGCAACGCAACGGGGAAAATTAATCCGTTGACCGTTGTTATTCCTGTCTCCTCGTAAGTCGAAATCGATACGGTCAAAACTGTCATCGCAAATCTCTGACCTTGGCAAGATCAAATCACAAGATGTCAGAACAGTTAAGGAACGTCCATTGTCACTCAAAAATATCATTAATTAACCTAGTTTCGTTTAGCCTTTACTGATAGGTGGAATGATGGCACAATATAATATCACGTTGGCCGCCGGGCTATTTACCTTACTCGCGAAAGACTGGATGTCCTTGCGCAAGTTTGGTTTGGTTTGGTTTGATATTGTTTACTCATTTTTTTTTTTAAATAGTAAGCAATGGAGCAATAGACGATATGAAAAAAATATACACGTCGATCAATGTCGTGTTATATGATGGATATATCAATTTTATATCATGGATGCACAGGAATATTAAACTAGGGTTTAGTTTGCGGGGAAGGGGGCTCCAAATGGATTTTGTTTAACAAAGAAAAATTTCCTGTGCCTTAATCCCAGAATTGGGGGGCAGGGTGGGTTTGGAGTAGATCTGTATGAATAAAACAATGTTAGGTCAAAATGGAGGGGGGGGGGGGGGAGAAGAGAGGCAAGCATACAAATTATTACAAAATCATCTGGCAACTCAGCACACGCTCGTTAGCGATTCGAAAATAAACACTGCAAAAACTTGAAATCTTGTGAATAGGCTTCCCAACAAGAATCACACAGCCATGTTTTATTAGTTTTCGCTTGCAAGTATTAAAACAGGACTAAATTATCTCGTAAGCTGTGGCCCAACTGTAGACCTGTTGTAGCCTATATCTATGAGTCATGTAAAAGTCTATTCTTATGATGCACAACTAGTCACGTGGTTGTGACGGTCAATTGAAATAAAGGATTCCTATTTGTTGAATGTCAGTTGGTGCATGGAGCGTTTTTATAGCTGTATGCTAGGTATATGTGGAACATCAAACGTGTGCATACAGTGCCAGTCCAAATGCGAAGTTTGTTTAGTACTAACATCTAGTTTTATAGTGACCCATGAACCCAAGTTGCGAGGGCCTAAGGGACAAGGTGATTGATTGCCATGAAAGGCAGTTCGTGACAATTTTGTTACAAACCAACCAACCAGCCAGCCAACTGAGAGACATGAGCATTTCTAGAGCTGTTTTCCGCAACTACAAATGACACAAAGCGATGCAATTTTATATAGGCTTGGTTTATTGTTTTCTATTGCTCTTGAACGTAACAGTACGCTATTCAAAAAATCACTATTTGTTTGTATTATTTTTGTTTATTCACACGATTCTACACAATTCTAAATAACTTAAAATTCATTCATTCTTCAACCACTCTTAAACAATCCTTAGCAATCCTTGTCCAAACATATTGAAAGTTGTCTTTTTTTTAACAGCTTTGGATTTTCACGCGGATACAATGTGGTATCTTTAAAATAATCATGAATATATATTATAAATTAAAAAAAAAGTGAACAGTCAACAAAACATGGGTGTTCAATTGATGGTTGAGAAGCTTATAAACAAAACATTTCCAAAGTAATTAAAAATCAATTATTCGATGTAATTTATTGCCTTGGGTTTTCCGTGAGATTTTTTTTTAATAGTCATATTGCAACTTGCCTTTGTTCCCCTGGTGCCCGCAATGTGACTGGTAACCCATTCGCGAGAGCATTTAGCTTCCCTACGTAATTTTTCTAAGTTGTGTGTAAGCGCAACTTCAAAAGTCGCACATTGCGGTCAGTCATGTGAGCTTACTGAAATGGTCAGATTTTTTAAAATCTGTGATATAAAGAAAATATACAAAATTGAAATAATTATGATTTTGATATCGATTCATTCATTTCACATGATTATGTAAGCAACAACACCAGTTCTCACGCATGTAAATGAGTTAATTGGGGGCGTTGCTAACAGCGCAATACAACTTTCCACCAATCAGAGCGAGCACGCTTCATGCATAATCAATAGGCGAAGCTAATTAACATAAAAAGTCCACTAAACGAGTCAAAAAAAGTTCTGATCACTTCGTCACGGTTACTAAAAAGAAATTCTTCACATCCTTTGGGTTAAAAAAGGAACTTTGGTACAATTTTGATACAATTGAAAAACGATCTACGATAAAAAATGAGCACTATATTCACTTTACTGTTTACTAATTTGAACTACAAACATTATTGCTGTTTTCAGTGTACATCTAACTCAAAACCCGCAGGTTGTTTTTTTAGATGTTCGACAAAATTTAGAAATTCACGACTTAGAAACCTAGATTACATTATAACTGATGCTAGTCAATTTGAAATCCATAGCAAAAGTGAAAAAAACTTACGTGAAAGATAAACTGTCATATTTAAAGGGCAGCAAAAAAAAAAATGAAAAACAAAAATATACTTTTTTCTCACAATGAAAGAAGCGTCGGTAGAGGTGACTAAGTTCTTTGCATGCAGCTGCATACTAAGGGAGTCTGGGCTCCATTTCAAAATGTCAAGCTCTATTGCCGTACTTTCTTCTATTAATGTGCATCATTTTGTGGCTAACTCTTTGTTTTCAGAAAAAGTTCGAAGTGAAGCAGGTTTGAACTATTCAAAGTGAAGGTTCAAATCTTGGTGGTTTTTTTGAGGTTTCAGAGTATCTCGATGTTTCAGTAAGTACGCAATGATCATCTTCGCTTCTAGATATTCAAGGCTAAAACAAAACCCTAGTACCCAAGCAGCTTTTTAATTATTTGAAATTATTGTTCAATTTCCATCACATAAACTTCATTATTACAGTACTGGATAGATTACAATTGTATTTCCTACAAGCAAAAAAAAAACCCCAGATTGTTTTCCTAAAGAAAAAAAAACATGTTAATATATAGAAACAAACATTTTCCGTTGGTACTGTACGTACCGTACTTCACATACTCCTGACGTTTTTCAAGTTGAGTACAGTCTTGTTTTGTAAAACCCCAAGTAAATTCTCTTCAAAGCAATTATCAGGATTGGAACATAACAATTAAATAACATTGTAATGACAAAACTTAATACTAACCACTGTATACAAATACACATGTCATAGGCATGCACTGTGACGTCTATACACATCTAAAAAACACTGTATTATACTACAAATACAGGTATACATAAAACAATTTGAAACAGGCTAATAAATTAAAATTAACATATATACGAGACAAAAAGTATATGCACACTTGTTTATTTTTGTTACACTGAGCTGTTTAAAATCGGCATTTTATTTAATTTTTTTTTTTAAAAGGTCACTGGTTAATAATTCACAAAATTTAATAGGCTATAATACGACACCGATAAATATTCATGAGTGTGGATACTCATTGGTTAGAATGAAGCATTAATTCACGAATATGTAGATATATGCTAATGTATGCTAATGAAGGCTACCAACTGTACACAGCTATTAATATCAAACCAACAAAAGAACTAGCCACTCCCAAGGAGTCTCATGAATATTAAATACATAGATATAAATAGTTTACTTTCTAAAAGTAGAACATGTCCAAAACAGGGCAAAGGTGTGCGCCCCGTCCATTTTAGGATGAGAAACAATCTTCTCTTTAACATTTCATACAAAAAAATGTTTGTTTTAAGAACCGGAAAACAGCCATTGCGCTTCATGACATTTCGTCGATAATAATGCCCAAATGCCCAAATCTCAAGGAAAAATCCCACGGTGAAATCACATGGAAAGACACCCTTGATGAAAATCCCAGTGTATAATCATGGCAAAATCCCATTGATAAAAAAAACAATGGCAAAAATCCAATGGCAAAATCCAATGGCCAATAAAACCACGGCAAAAATCCCATGGCAAACTCCAATGGCAAAATCCCATGGCAAATTCAACACCAAAAGCTGACATCAAAAATCCAAAATGTCAAAATCCCTTGTCTAAATCCCATGGCAAATCCCATGGCAAAATCCCATGTCCAAATCCCATGACGTAGAATTACTATCAAAGTCGTGTAGGACATTTCCAATGGAATCAGCCATTCCTACAAAGGATTTGCCGCATGCAAAACTTTCCAAATCTGCATCTGCCGTCACTTTTTCAAAAGTTATCCTTTACCACAGATATCTTAGCCTAGTCTTTCGTATTTTGTTGTTGGCCGTTTCCCTAGATCTCGGAGAATAGAAAAAATTACCAATTTAATTTTTTTTTAAATGGACTGTTGAACATATCTTGAACACGGACCAACATGAAAGGGACTAGACCTAAGGCAAGCATTTAAAGTTGAACCAAATCATCTTCAGTTTTTCTGCTACTGGAGCAACACTAATATAGCAACAGGCCGGGGTAGGGTTATAAAATATTGAAAGCGAAGCACACTCCTGAAAAGTGATGGAAAAAGAAGACAAAGAAGAAAATGTCAGTGGGACGATTTGTCATCAGAGACGGATGATTACATGATAAATGAGTCACAGATTCATCTGGCGCGGATTGCAATGCCGTGGTTTTTGTTGGTGAGCTTAACCAGACCAGTTTTAGCCAGGGTGGGAGTGGTGGTGGGGATGGGGGCGGGGATGGGTGTGGGAATGGGGGTGGGGTTTAACCATAAGAGCTATATTAAATTACTAGAGCGCTGACTCATGTACAAAGTTATCCATGCTGGGCACATCCATGTTTGTGCACAAACGTAAGAAAAACTCTGTACAGGTATTTGCATGTCTGCATTTGTATTCTATACAGGTGCGTTACCGAAGCCGATACGCCCAAAACCAAAACGCATGATTAGCAAATGAGCGTGTCATTTTGCTCTACGCAAACAGTGCAATGCGTGTGTGTATCCGCTGCAGATGATTATCTTTTTTAAAACCGCAATGACGCACTTAAGTTGTTGGCGCACGTTCTATACTTGCGCGTTGCATTCAGAGTACACTTCCAAAATCAATCCATCTCATTTCATTATGTTCTACAAACACACGCACGTATTCTGTGCCCAGGATGGCTTCAAAGCGTCTCCGCGCACAAGAATGAGGAGTCAGCGCTCTAGTAATTTTGTATAGCTTTATGGGTTTAATCAGCTGTTACCTGTTTGTGTTGCACAAGGTGCTAACACACTTGTTTCTAGTTGGTAACTTCATGCTTCTTCAGACCTTCGCGGAAATCTTGATGCTGATGCTGTTACAGGAGGAACACAAAAACATCCAGATTCATCAAGGTTGTTTGCATGAAATCAGTTAAAGAAGAGAATACACAAAAATTACCAGATATTCCATAAATGTCTGATGTGCATAAAAAACAAGCACAAAGGACAGGAAACCTCAAACTTAGAAAAAAAATATACATATACTTTATTTTTTATGTGACTACAAATGCATTCTCAATCAAATGCCTCTTTTGGTGCAGAGACAATTTTGATATTGCTAAGATGGAAGAAAGCGTAAGCATTTTCGTCACAAACCTGGTCGCTCTTACTCTTCTTTTCGACTTTCTTCAATGTCGGCTTGACGCTGGAGTAAAAAAGAAACACACATACGTCACTTTAATTTTCAGAGAAAAACAATACCTTCTGAAATCCACAAAAAATCTAGTACTGTGCAGTTAACTTAACATTTTTTTTCGTTCATTCATGAAGGCAGGAAAATGCTCGTTTTATTGTATTTAAACGGGAAATGATCATTGGTGGACCCCTGAATTTTGTGATGTTTGTATTTGAAGGGAATATACATCATTTGCTTTTGCTGTAATTTTCAGAAATGGATGGAATTGGGGGGTTGGAAATATATAGCAAATATAGTTACACTGTCTTTTTTGAGGTTTTGGGTTCGAAAATGCTATAAAAACCAAGATAAACAATTATTTTCCTGTAGTCTGGGTCCCTGACTCCATATAAGAAGAAACAGAGCAGTTTACATACATTGGGGAATTGTAAGGTCAGGGAACCAGTCTAGCTGGCTTGTACCCGTTCATAGGTGTGTAATCGATTGCAAACAAGTGCGATGGTCAATTGGGGCCAGTATTTGAAAAAAAGCCATTTTTTTCCAACGCTGATCAGCCGATCAGCGTTGGGAATTGATACAAAAATAGCACTTTTCTTGAAAATGACAGTATACCAGGTGCCATGATTTTAGAGGATGCTTTACACTTTCATTCACTAACAGTCCAGCAAGGTATTTCAAAATGATTTGGTAGTTTTATTTTTTGATGTTTGCAAATGTTGTATTTTCCCTTTAAATAGATATCACTTGTGAACATAGTAAGCAAATTACGTAAAATTTCACAGCTACTAGTCAATAACATGTATTTTATCCCATGTTATTTTTATGGAGCAAGCCGCCTATTTTTAAAAATATTTGTATACAATTCAGTCACTTTCTTCGTGACTCGCCCGGTATAGCATTTATAATGAATGAACCTTTGTTTCAGATACTTACAATTTACCCTTGATTTCCATTGCCCTTCTATCCAATTCTTCAATCTGGAACAAAACAAAAAAGAGGGATACTTTAATTTGTGCATTTCCAAATCTAGCAAAACGTCTTGTAAAGAGTTTTGTTACTTTTTCCCATTGTTCAAAATGTTGGTAATCCTTACCTTTAGGACCCCGTTCCTATATAACTAAGGTTAAAAGACTCACCAAAACAGCTGTCTAAATGACACTCAAAAGTGACATTCTGATATTTTTGACACATTTGAACCAATGCAAATGACACTTTTTTGAATATCAGCAGGTTCAATTTTGTAGAAGAGGGTAGGGCTTTGATTTATGAGGGGTTAAAGATGACGATGACAAACAGAAAATATATTTAAAAAGCAAGATGGTGAAAAAAAGGTAGAAAAGTCACATTTTCTTTGAAAGTGCTTTCAAAATTACAACTAACATGAGTTTATCTGAAGAAACAAGACTGCTTTATCCTGTAAAAGTAACTTTGGTACTGGAAAGTCACCTGCAAAAGTCAGTTTTTGAACAGAACTCGTAAAAATAGAGGTGTCCTAAAGATAAGGATTACCAAAATGTTTTTCGAATCAGTTTTCTAAAAACAAAACAGGATTAATTTGAAAGTTGGAAAAAAAAATTGATGGAGCGGGGTTTGAACCTGCGATCTCCGGATTGCCGTTCCGGTGCTCTACCAACTGACCTAACCAGCCTTATGTTGGCAATTTCCACATTTTGTCAATGTCTTTGTTCAAGGGGCGCTAGTCAGGAGCCATAAACCCATACATGCCATGTAGCCAGGGATCACGATGCTAGCAACATGAGCAGTGCTGCAAACCTTGGAAATAGCAAACTGGGGTCACTCAGAGAGGATACAGATTGTTTTAAATAAAAATTCAAATAAAATTTATAAAAAAAAAGAAGATTTACATCAACATCTCGATCGCGGATCTCCACTTCCAAGTCGTACTTGTCGCTCTCGGCCTGCTTGAGCTGGTCGTGCAAGCGCTCGCACAGCGACTTAAGATCCCGCTGGCTCATGGCGTCCACGTTGACCGTCTTGACGTTGTCGCTGATAAACTGGGCCTTCTCTGCTGCCGTGTCGTCGGCCTCTTTCTTCAAGTCCTGGCCAGCTTTCTTCATCATCATGCTCTGGTGGTACAGGGGTCCAGGTGGGGTTGGGGGTGTGTTAGAGAAAGGATGTGATAGAGTTCTCTACTATGGGTCTGGGTAGCTGAGCCGCCCAGCTTTGGTTTCATATCACCCTGCTACAACAGACGATGCAACGCAATCCTACAACGTATCTCATCCCTACGACGCATCGCGGTTGCAATGCGTCCTGCGAACCATTTCATAAAACACGTCCATCACTTATTGCCGTAGGTGTATTTATAGCACAATGCGTTGACTGATATTTCTTTGTTTATCCAACGCTCAGTAAAACAGTCGCCTGATATTCAACGTCCGAACTACGAGTCATCCAATCTTCTCTCGAAACGTTTTACGACGTAAAACAAAATTGTGGATGCATGATGCTGTTTTGAAGGTAAACAAGCTCACAGTGGACTATTAGGTGGAGCGTCATTAAGATTTTCACTCTCCCCCCGCATGCGCCCAGGTTCCTTCTCATTCTTGCACGAAAAGCAATGAGACTAACGATAGCCCCGTCCCTCCCGTTCTGATGCGGGTGAACGGTTAAAATCTTTACGACGCTACCCCTTAGATACTTCAAAATTTCAACTGCAGTATTCAATGTTTTATTCAAATTTAATACTATGTGTATTCCATTTTCATGGTCTCATATTTTTTTAAATTATGCCATAAAACTGGCTGAGAAAGGACACTTCTTAATTTGCGATGTCCCAAAGGTAAGTCGTAACTGTGCGACCTGTTTCAAGCCGATGCCAAAGAACTTGCGATGTGTTCAAAGCATTGTAAGTTTCTTAAAATGGATGTTACGACGCGCCGGTAACACGTCGCAACTCGAGTTTCTCTGCATCTCAGTGCTCCGTGAAATCGGTTGCTGGCTGGTAAACAATGGAAAAGGACCAATCCTGTTGATGATCCCTTCAGAATTAACATCCCCCCACTCCCCCACCCCAACATACCTTGATGTTCATCCTGCGGCCAGACTTCATCTTGGAGGCCAGAGATTTCTTCTCGGTTGCCGGTTCTGCCCCGTTCTCTGACGGTTTCTCAGCTGGTTTTTGCGCTTCAGCTTCTTTCTTCTTACGCTGCATTATACATGTAAAGGTACATGTAACAAATGAATGCTCTTCAAGAACATGTACATATCCAAACTGGCTCCCAGACAGTCACAAGCCATAAAGCATGTCAATTTAACTGGTATCCTGTTGTTGCTCTCAGTCAAAAGTTCCTACGGTACGGCCGTGTCTGAATTGCATGGCTACTGCTGGAAATTGCACACCTGCATATATGGAAGCAAGGGCAGTTGCAGGGGGGGGGGGGGGGTGGGGAGGTCCAACAGGGGCCATGCCCCACCCCACCCCCCCCCCCCAAAAAAACGAACCAAATGTTTGTTTGTTTTAAGTGACGTCGCAATAAAGGCAGGCACTGCGTACACCACCATCTTTTCCTCAAAAAAAAAATTGTTACAGTGGTCAGACATTGCCTCAGATCGCACCACAGAGTATCTAGAATCCAAAAAATATTTGGGGCCGTTCAGCGGGCCCCGGACCCCACGCTGTCATTTTTTGGGCCCACTTTTGGGGGGACCAAATTTTTATTTGCCTCCCCCCCCAAAAAAAAAATGGGTTCTGGATCCGTCCTTGTATGGAAGCACCGCAGCCACTTCCCATAGACCTGTGTGTTATTTCTAGCCGTAGCCACCTAATTCTGGACGCGGCCTGTGCTTGGCTCATTTCTGTGCATCACAGCTCAATGAAAGTTCTCCCGGAAAGAGTACCATACCTGGACATCACTTGACACCCTGCGCACAAACCCTATCAGACTGGTCTGAACAAGTGTTTTCTCAGTAAATGCTTCAATGTTTTTCCTGCTAAATTTGACTTTGTAGGACACGTTAGCGCTGTCTGATGGCTGATAAAGGTCACTGCAGGGAAGAATGAGTGATGTCCATGTCTGGAATTCTTTCCTTGCTCCCTGGTGGTTCTTACCTCCGCCTCTTCCTGCTTCTTTCGTTCAGCTTCGGACTGTTGTCTCTTTCTTTCCTGTGTAACGAGCAAAAGTGGTTTAATAAGTAAGATTTGAGGCTTTGCATGGTGGAGATACTAAATAATAAAAGTTTGCGGAAACACCATGTGCGAATAATTTCTCAAATTAAAAGAATGGTTCTGAAAAGAATCAGAGGCATAAACTCGACGTATGCTCTGACCGTCTTCAGGAGAGTGGTTTCAGGTATAAAAGATGCATCCTTTGTCACTTGTGCATTTTTTTTCGTTTGAAGCAACAAAAATGCTCAAAATCTAAACTCTACGGACATGTGCTTAACAACAAACCTGAAGACGTTTTCGCTCAGTGAATGCTGTATATTCCAAGAAAACAATATTCTGGGATCTCAATTTTCAATTCAAAGTTTGAATTGAATTGAATTGTCGTTTTTTGAAATTGCACCCGAAATCAGCATCCGGGACACGATCTCATTCAGCCGATGCAGGTACGTGATGTCACGCACTTAACTGTCGAATAATAGCAACTGCGCGTGCGTGTGCATCGTGTCAGCGCTTGCACCCACCCGTTCACGGCTTCGCCGAATTACAAACCAACTACAAACGGAAATTTCCAAAAATGCATCACTTGACGCATCTTTGGAAATTGCCTTTCTTTATTGCTTTCTTCAAAATGACAGCATGCCAGAGAGAATAATTTCACAGGGAGTTTAGAGCCATTACTATCTTTCTAATAGTTCTAGTTGACTGTACTTCCTCAGTCCTTATGCATGCATACCACTCTATACTTGTTGCATGTCCAGTGCACCATATGGTGATGCTCTTGTGGTGCTCGGTGAACATGTGTCAAACTGGAAGGCTGAAAGGGCGTGGTGTCCCTTGCCTCAGTGTGATGACTGGTGTATTGTAAAAAGGCGCTTGAGATGTGAAAACAGCATAGGAATTGGTCACGGAAAACCCTAATTTTGTCTTGCGAAAGTCGTGGAATAGTCATGGAATTTCATTTTAAAGTTTTGCGGGAACCCCAGGAGGTTGACTGTGGGAAGTAATGAAAGAAGAATCGAAGGAGGATAAAATATAACTAAAAAGATTATTTAAGGTAGAGTAGATCATTTGCAGCTATCCAAAAAGTAACTGATGAATTTATTGTTGAAAAACATACTTGGTGTAAATAACTGGAAGACTGCCATAACCAAAGAAGACTCATCATCATGTCTGGGTTGTGCAGGATTCCATGACCTTTCCATGACTTTCTTTCCAGGAATATCAAAATTCCATGACTTTTCCATGACTTTCCATGATATAGCTTTAAATTTTAGTAGTTTTTTCCAGGATTCCATGACCTTTCCATGACTTTCTCTTCTAGGAATATCAAAATTCCATGACTTTTCCATGACTTTCCATGATAAAGCTTTAAATTCCAGTATTTCTTCCAGGATTTCATGACCTTTGCATGACTTTCTTTCTAGGAAAATCAAACTTCCATGACTTTTCAATAACTTTCCATGATATAACTTTAAATTCCAAGATTTTTTTTCCCCAGGATTCCATGACCTTTCCATGACTTTCTTTCTAGGAATATCGAAATTCAACAACTTTTCATGATATAGCTTTACATTCTAGCATTTTGTGCAGGATTCCAAGATTCCATGACTTTTCCATGACTTTCCATGATATAGCTTTAAATTCCAGGATTTTTTCAAGGATTCCATGACCTTTCTATAACTTTCCTTCCAGAAATACCAAAATTCCATGACTTTTCCACAACTTTCCATGATCCACGTTTTATTTTCCATGACCGTGGGAAACCTATCCTCACCTCATCCTGTTTGCGTTTCTTCTCCTCCGCCTTCCTCTGTCTCTCAGCTTCTTCCTCCTCCTGCTTGCGTTTGCGCTCCTCCCCTCCTGACGCCTCCGTTCCTCCTCGTGCTCCGCCTCCTCCTGCTGCCTCCTCTGTTCCTTCTCTTCCTCCTGCCGGCGACGTTCCTCTTCCCCTTCCTCCTGGCGGCGTCGCTCTTCTTCTTCCTCTTCTTGTCGCCGGCGCTCTTCCTGAAAGATAATAATAGCAGGCATTTATACAGCGTTTTTACGCCGCAAAGGGGTATCAAACTGCTTTGCAATTATCCCTGTTTCAATGGGCAAACACTCCTGAAACCTTCTTGGCTCCCTGGGGAGTATACAGCTCGATGCTGCCTGTTAGGCGCAAGGAAGCTAAATCAACAACAATAACCATCTCTGCCCTCACAGGTACCCATTTACTCCCGGGTGGAGAGAAGCAATGAGTGGCAAAGTGCCTTGCCCAAGGGCACACGCACCATAACCCCAGGCTGGACTCGAACCCACAACCTGCAGCTTTACCCACAGACCACAAATCCAATGCCCTTAACCACGAGGCCACAGCACTCCACAGATAAGATAAGATTCAAGCTAACATTACGTCTCACATTACGGCCACATTACGGTCACATTATTCTGAAGTGATCATTAGGGAATCAAACAGTTGACTGTGGTTGAGTGTGATTGACTTTGGATTAACTTGTGATGACTTAGATTGATTTGTGATTGACTTGGGATTGTCTTTTGATTGACTTGTGAGGGCCTGTGATTGAAAAGGAAATGGACTTAAGATTGAACGGTGATAAGTTATGATTGATTTGTGATTGACTGTGATTGACTTGTGATTGTCTTATGATTGACTTGTGAGGGCCTGAGATTGACTGGAAATGGACTTATGATTGATTTGTGATTGACTGTGATTGACTTGTGATCGTCTTATGATTTACTTGTGAGGGCCTGTGTTTGACTGGAAATGGACGTATGATTGATTTGTGATTGACTGTGATTGACTGCGATTGACTTTTGTGATCGTCTTACGATTGACTTGTGAGGCCTGTGTTTGACTGGAAATGGACGTACGATTGATTTGTGATTGACTGTGATTGACTGTGATTGACTTGTGATTGTCTTACAATTGACTTGCGAGGGCCTGTGATTGACTGGAAATGGACTTATGATTGAATGGTGATGAGTTTTGATTGATTTGTGATCGACTGTGATTGACTTGTGATTGACCTGTGATCGTCTTATGATTGACTCGTGAGGGCCTGTGATTGACTGGAAATGGACTTATGATTGATTTGTGATGACTTAAAATTGATTTGTGATCGACTGTGATTGACTTGGGATTGTCTTATGATTGACTTGTGAGGGCCTGTGATTGACTGGAAATGGACTTATGATTGAACGGTGATGACTTTTAAGGGCCTGTGCTTGTCTTGTGTGATTCTCTCTTTACAACTGACTAGTGATAACATGTGACGGGCTGTGATTGATTTGCGAGTGACTTATGATTGATTTTTGACGACTTTTTTAGTGCCTGTAATTGACTTGTTATAGTCGATGGCCTCGTGGTCTAGAGCATTGAACTCATGGTCTGCGGGTACATTGTAATTCTGCAGGTTGTGGGTTATAGTCCAGCCTGGGGTTATGGTGCCTGTGCCCTGGGGCAAGGCACTTTGTCACTCATTGCTTCTCCCCACCCAGGAGAAAAATGGGTACCTGTGAGGGCATGAGATGGTTATTGTGGTTGATTCTAGCTGCTTTGCGCCGAAATGGCAGCATCGAGCTGCATAGTCCCCTAGAAGCCGGATTTGTATTTGGAATGTTTCACTGGCCCAATGAGCAGGGTTAATAATAACGTAAAGCATTTTGATAAGGGAATAAATGTGTGCTCGAGAGGTTTTAATCACTCTGTTTAAGACTGCTTAGAGTCTGGGTGCTGATAATTACCCGAGCCGGAGGCGAGGGTAATTATCAGCACCCAGACCCTAAGCAGTCTTAAACAGAGTGATTAATACTGACCGAGCACATATTTATTCCCATTCATAAATACCTTTTCGGTAAAAAAAATCAAGGAATTCGTTCAAAAAATCCCGATTTTGATCAACAAGTTCACTCCAGCTTTTTGAAACATCCCTCTAGCAAAATAATGGAGTGTTCAGCTGGCGAGTAAGATGTAAACAACCCTTTTATGGAGATTGACGCGCGCGTAGCACATTCTGCGCGATGTCGCGCAGAACGCACCTGGGGCGTTGCGTTTTGAATTTAGAACTATAAAATTCTGACTCACTGGTAGTGTTGCGCATGCCTACGTGAGGATTGTGAACGTTCAACCAATGAAACGGTAAGAGGCACTGGATTTTTAGGAGTCCACATTTTATGTGACACTGGAAAAGTGTTTAAGACCAGCTAGCCATGTCTTTATCATCCGTTTAAGACCGGCCACGTGACGGGCTCTCGACCAATAGGAATGGCTAAACTGTCTGAGGTATTTATGAATATCAGTTAAAAGTGCTAGATAAGTACCCATTATTATTATTTTCATTATTAAGATTGAGTTATGATAACTTGTGGTAGTCTCGGGTTGACTTGATCCCAGACTGACCTCCTCTTGTCGTTGGCGCTCCTGTTCTTCCTCCTCTTGCCTCCTGCGTTCTTCCTCTTCTTGTTGCGCTCTGGCTGCCGCTTCCTCCTCTTCCTGAAAAGATCAGAAAAAGAAGAATGTCAATCTTCTACTACGTTCAATAAACAGCACACTATCAGGAACTCTTCACACAATAACTCTCTGTTCAACTTTTCAATTTCTAGTCAACGATGAAAGAGCTATGGGTTTTTTTCAGTTTAAAGCTTGGCCTCAGGTCGACCCGCGATTTGCTTGCGCCACGACGGAACCGTCAGCATCAAGCAGAAAAATGCTGCTCAGGTCACAAAACTGAGAAATCGTGTGATTCTCTTGAAACAAGCGGCAAACTAATCGCAACCACGCTCATGTCATCCACGGCGTGACGATCCACCATGATTCCACAGCATAGACAGTCATGTGACTTCTTTAACAATAAGGGAATAAATATGTGCTTGGCCGGTTCGGCTCGAGCCATTATCAGTGCGCATTCCCCGATATGGTCTTTAATGTACTTGTACTCCCATTCACAAATACCTTCAAGTCAAAGAGTCGACACAAGTCAAAAATTATACATTTTCAACGATTTTGTTGAACACTTTTACTTCATTTTACTTCTAGCCATGGTATGAAATAGCCCCTCGCGAGCTGTAGTAAACAATCTCCTTATATGGTGATTGTGGTGTGTACTGCGTAATGATGCGCAAAACTCAGAGCACCGGTGCAGTGTGCTGATTGGCTACACAATGAAAAAGGATGATCTTGATTCTTGCACGACGTTGTTGTAGAAGATGAAATGTTTCTACTCTTGTGACTGTTGATTTTTATTTGAGCGGCGACTAATTCCGATCGTCTTAATATCGTCGCAGTTACACTCAGTTCGCAAAAAAAATCAGCTTGATCCTGAAAAGTCAGTCGCTTACTGATCTGTGTCATCGTACGGTCCATCTGAGGGCAGCTTAACATGTACAAGTAACAAACAGTGCCTGAATCTGGGTCTGTCGTCTCACCTTGCGTCTTATTTCTTCTTCGTTGTTATTTTCTTCCGCTTGCCTTTCAGCCGGTGCACTGTCCGTCTGTTGGAAAGAAAAATAAACATCTGATGAGACATGAGATGCCTAGACTGTGATTTCTGTATCCCAACATGAAGGTGGGGAATTAGGATGATAGGTGTTGCATCCAAACCAGGTATGTGTCCCCTGCCCAAAATGTGACTTTTACAACACGTCCCAAAATACCTGCAACGTTTTTTTTGCGAGGCTCTAGCGTCGCCACGGAAACACGTACCGCCACTATTTTTATATCATTTTAAAGCTTGGAATCTTAACTTCATCCCTGGTAAGTATTGGTTTGATACGGTTTTGAAATTATTCGTGTTCAAATAAAGGCATGTCAAAAACAAACTCAACCAATTTCAAGGAAAATCAATCATGCACATTTTTCTTCATGATGTTCATGATGTAACAATCTTTGTTGCCTTTTACTTTTTGTGTTTCCTTTTCTTTTCGATCCACCTAGACTATCTTATATAAATCACAATGTTGTTCTTCGTTTCAAATTCAAGGTGTTTCTAATATAAACCAACTGTTTTTTTGTTGGTTATTTCAACAGCTTGTTGACTCGAGTTTGCATCTGATGTTCAGCATCATTGATTTGCCTTGTAATTGGTTCAGTTTGTTTTCGGCATGCCTTTATTTGAACATGAATAATTTTAAATTCTTTTAAATATCAAACCAATACTCGCCAGGGATAAAGTTAAAATTCCAAACTTTAAAATGGTATAAAAATAATGGCGGTACGTGTTTCTGCGCCAACACTACAGCCTCTCAAAAAAGGGGTTGCGGGTCTTTTGGGACGCGCTGTATATGAATATCTGCTGACAAATGATCATCTATACTGGTAAGAGAGAGATAACACCCCAGTATAACCTCATTATTAGCGGTTTAAAAAAAAAAATGGGGGGGGGGGGGGTTTGTCTATTTTTGCAAAAAATATGAAATCTATTCTGAAGTGGAATCGCGATTCCCTGACGCAATCGGAATCGATTCCAAACATGCTGAATTCACCCATGCCCATGTTGTAATGATTTCTCGTCTCACTCATCTGCATCCCAAAAAGCCCAGCTCTGGACCAGGATTCATCTAAGACAACCCAAGTCAATCAGATTCTAAACAACTTCTCTTTTCCCTTACCTCATCGTTGACCATGCCTGCCTCCTGCTGCCTTCTCTCCCGCCTCTCTCGTCTCCTCCTCTCTGCGTCTGTCTCCTCGGTGGGACCGTTTGTCTCAATCGTCTCCGCCTCAGCAGCTGCTAGTCTGTTTGCCCCCCAAATTAAATAAATATCATTGTAAAATTCAACTCCATCTTTTTCTTTTCAGGGCCGGAGAGGGAGGAGACAGAGACTATAGACCTTTATCATGTTGCCACCATTTCAGTCATGCTCCCTGTATCCAATAACAGTACTGAATGATAATTTTTTTGGTGCAAAAAGGAACCAGACTATTTTTCCTTTCCAGCCTCGCTTTGGTTACATTGATTTGAATGGGATAAAATCAAGATGGCTGCAACATGGTAATGGTCTTTAGAGTAACAAGTCAGATGTCAGCTGTCGTTCTGGTTCACGCGCTGATATGCGTGCTGATGCCTTCACAAACTTAAGCAGTGCACGGGAACCAGAATACACGGTACACTTCAATACTCTCTATACAAACTACAAGCTTAACGTGTATGGGAGCGTGAAAGAATGACAATTCCCATTTTACTTTTGTAGAAAGTGGTGTTAAAATTTAAATCTTTTAAATTTCGGGCACTCTGACTTGAGAAGGCTCTAATTTCATCACTAACTTCTGTTTTATTTACTCCGAAACCAGCGCTGGTTAGAAATGTGCAGATTCTGAAACGAACAGAGATTCTTATTTCAGTTTCTAACAGTTGCAATTACATTTTCCCATTTTTCAACCTATTTTAAACCTTGGATGAAAATGATTCAACATTTTTGGCGGGAAATTCAAGGACACTAATTTTGCAAAAGGTCAACAGAAATGAAATGGATGTGTACAAACGGTTATCCAGATCAACACATATTCACGCAGCATCAAACATTCCAAGGCAAATTTGTTGTTACCATATATCCTTTTTTTCTGAAATAGAGCATGTAAGTCTCGCCAGTCCACGTTCACTTTTCATGTGAACGTCTTGGTACCAAACACTGACTAGTCTAGTCACAGACTCCCATGTTAGAATGTACCCAATTGTTATTTGCGTGATTGATCGAACGGAAATCAAAGTCAAAATTTCTCATTTTATTACAGTCATCAATTCACATTTTCAAAACGTTGTATTAAAATTGTAATGCTTTCTTTCCTTTCACAGAACCCAATTATTGCCCTTGATTGGATAAGCCTTGTCAGGACACACTAGCAAGTGTGTATTTGACTGCAATCGGGGACCCCTTATTGTCCCTCTTTTGTTTGTACTCTAATGTTTTAGAAAGACCTCCCATATGTTTTGTACACATCGCCAAATTGGGGACCTTCGGGAATTGCGGACCCTATTGTCCTGTATTGTTCAACGTCCCCTATTGAATGCAGAAACAAACTCAACATAACTGTCAAAAAAACTACGACGTTACGTCGTAGATCCTATACATGTACCAGTACATGGTGCGCGGATGACGTATTCCTGTGAAATCTCGCAGGGTTTTCGGGTCAACTCGCTCGCTCTATACCACCATTGCAAAACTTCAATGCTTCTTTCAAAACACCCATTTGAATATTGTAGTTAACTAGCTAAGCTAACTCAGGAAAGATACATGAATTGGAAATTGAAACTCAGGAAAGTACATGAATTGGAAAGACACAATCAACTTCCACTCTGTATGTATAAAAGGGGAAAACAAATAAATAAAAGAAGAAAGTAAAGGGAAAAGGGAAAAGAAAGTGATTCATTGAGAGATACATGTATGAATGGTACGGATCTGAAACTAGAAGGCAATGCTGACATTTCTGCTCATTTCTGGCGTGAAATGAAACAGAAAGTTTGCATCTCAACTTAATTTGAGCAAAATTCAATTGTTATTTTACACACAAGTACCAGTATGACTATTCATGCCAAATAAAACAAACCGTATACGTGTACCTAAACTATATAACATGAAACAAAAGTGAAATTCATTCCAGTGGACAATGGAAAACTTGTGCAACATTTGCATATTCACAACATTCCAGTGCCAAACAAAACTATCAAGTTGCGACTCCGTGCACTGATTTCAAATTTAAATTCCATGCTGAAAAGTGGATACAAAGTAACCAAACACCAACACGAGTACAAGGTCACAAACTTCGGAAGTTTTTTGTTTTTTTGTTTTTCCTCAGGAAACTTGAACCAAAACACTGAATTTTCAGGATGCAGACGAGGGTATCATTATTCTGCTCAAAATAACTTACATGCGTTCGTGCAGGATATCTAGAACGATTCCAGGTAGGCATGGGAAGGGAGATATCATAAAAGTGTAGATGATTAAAATTCGTGAAAAATGGGGTAATTCTTGTGTAATTTTCAATTTATTGTACGTTTCAGATTGGGTAAAATAACCTTGAGTTTTGTGGGATTGTGTGGCCTAGTGGTTTAGGGGTTGTGACTTATGATCAGAGGGTCAGGGGTTCGAATCCAGCTGCTGACACGGTGCTAGCATTCTTCGGCAAGATGCCCTCTCCACCCAGGAGTACAAATGGGTACCTGTGTGGGTAGAGACCAGCTTGTCCTGCTCTCGAGCTGCCGCAGTAAAAATGGTCTCATGGCCTGATGAACAGGGGTAATAATTGTGAAGCGCTTTGAGACTGTGGCACAAAGTCTCATAGCTCCACTTTATTATTTGGAAAAATATAAAAATATCAGACCAAATTTTTGTCCAATTCTTTTGAAGTTAAATCAAAAAAAAACATTCAAAATGCACAAAAACAGTTTATACATGCACGCACAATTCCCTCTTTCGTCTCCTTTCCTCCCGTCGATTGCGTAGCTCTTCCAGCTGTCGGTCCACCTCCTCAGCATCGCCGTTCTCTAGGGCCAGTCTGGACGGGTCGACGGAGGATTGGGGGAAAAAAACAGACAGACAGGGAAACGGTACAAGCATGCAAGCACACTGTTAATGTTAACGTCACTGCAAAAGTGTTTGTGTGGTGGTCCGGGAAAACCAGAAAAAAAGATATTTCTTGGTTAGGAAAACTTGACCTATCGCCATTAGCGAGTTAGCCACGCCCCTTCGACAACCCTATGTAATTTTTGCACGCTAAGTTTGTCTCAGATTTTGCGCGTTCCCGTCCATTTGTATCATGTACCGCAATAGGACAATATTTCACATGCTGCGTTTACGCAATTCTAACGGAATTCTACTGCGATAGGTCAATTGAATTGGTTTGGCCATGTCATGTAATACCGGTAGGTATTCACGGACCACCACACGAACAATAATTAGAATTGTTCAACTTGTGCTCGTAGATCACTCACAAAAGTGCCAATAATAATGGAAGAGGACACATAATGAACAGTACATTTCACATTTTAGTATTCTTAACCCATTATTTTTTTCTCGCTTTCGAAACGAGACAAACCATTTGTGACACCCATATTCATCAAAATTTACCCCATTCCTAAAAAAAATTGCAAAAAATAAATAAATAAAAAAAAACACATTAAACCCTCCCTTTTTTTTCTACAAAGTATTTAAAACACATAATATGTAAGCAAAACTTTCAGAAATAGAAAAAACCCACTCATTTAATTGAGCTGTGAGAATAAACAAATTAACAAGAACATTTTTGAGACCAATTTAACAGAAACCAAACAAAATAAACTTGTTCTGAACAAAAAAAAATGTACAATATCTAAAGCTTGAATTAATGTTTCATAAAAGATGAGTTTTTGGTGGAGTATTTTTAAAATGTTCAACCAACTGGACTTTTCATCTTAAATTTGAGCTTGTCCCTTTAGTCCCATATGGTGACCTTTGACCTGCAGCCCCTCAGCCAACCAGGTATCAATCAAAGACTGCCGAACCCACTTATTCATATCTGTGTCAACATGCCTTAATCCAAAGGAGGAAACAAATACCAAATACCAAGAGGATAGTAATATAATTCATGTCAAATTTGACGGACGGACGGTCAGGAACAGTGTACAAAAGACATAACTGTGCAAACACTGCAGGCAAAGTGTGTGGGTGGTTATTTTGGGTCAGACAAAAAAATCCACTGCACAAATCCAGAAAACATTAGGGGCAAATATACATGTACTGTTAATGTGTAAACCATCTATAGACACATTATTAAGTTTTTATCACATGTTCTTGAACGTTGCACCACTCATAAAAAAAATGGACTGTAAGTAATTTTGTTTGGAGTTAAAAATAGGCCACTACTGAGATTTAATGATTTCATTTGACCAACTTGAACTTTGAAGCATTGACAGATTCTTTCGAAGTATAATTTGCATAATTTCAGAGCATACAATGTTGAAGGGGAAAATAAATCAGAGAAATTTCAAAATGCATGTAATCCCTGGTAACTTTCAGTGGCAAAAAAAACAGGCAAGTTTTGTCAAAAAGATTTGGATGTGATATAGTTTTTGCCATGACTATGACACGGCTGTTCCATTTACCGTTCTGCCTCCCTCTTCTTCCTTCTCTCCTCTCTGCGCCGTGCCCTCTCGTCCATCTCCACATCTTCTGTCTCCATGACTAAGAGTGAGCTGGGCCTTCACCTCGAGAGAAAAAAAAGCAAATAAATAAGAACATGTAGATAAAAAAAAAAAAAATCGGGTACAAATCCCAAAAGGAAGTAAAGATTGAATATATTTCACTTTCACTCACAGTTTACAATTTACCAAATTTGATTGTCCAAGTCCAACGGTTCCTGCCACAACCTCAGTAAACAATCCCTTTAACAGTGAAAGTTTGCATGGCATGTATCATAACACTTGATCAAGTACAATATTTACATACGTCATGGGTGTGTAGAAACAGTCACTTTTGCTTGTGTATACAGAAATGTTAACATTTACACACAACTGCACACACAACCCAAGAGGAAAAAACAAGATTTTATAATTTACGTACTTTACTCTTGAAGGTAATTTAAAGGGTCCATGAGATGACTTTTTCTTAGAAACACAATCTGTGCAACTTTCTACTCCTCTTAATTAAATGAATGAAAAACTACTTGACATTCCTTTTTGGTTAATTTTATTGAAAAGTGCAATGTTGTGATGTCTTTTCAGGAAGACACTGTTCAGTTTTAGGGTGTTTTTCTTCAAATTTTGAACCAAAAAATTTGTTGATTGAAAACTTTTGTGAGAAAAAGTTTGCTCATTGGCTTACTGCTGTACTGACACAACATATCACTAAAGACAAGAAAATTTACAACAGCAAAATATACAAAATTCTGACAACTTTTGGTGCTGAAATATTGCGGCTTCTGGCTGAAACGACATCACATTTTTATCCATGATGGCCCTATGGAAATTTGCATTAGCATAAAAAAAGGCACCAAAATACTCTTGAAAATGGCAAAACAAAAATTTGAGAATAAGCTAAATGGCACATAAAGGTGCATTTTAAAGGATTGCATTAAAAAAGTTACATTACATGGACCCTTTAAATTTCATGAACTGAAAGAACAAACTCTTACAGATACATGTACAATTGGTTTTTTTAAGCATAAGACTAAACATGAAATCAACCTTAGTTTAAACTTAGAATGAATACAATGCAATACGTTTCCCCCAAAAGAAGGAAGAAGATTTCTTACATTTAAAACATTGAGAAACAGTACAAATCCAGAGGTTGAAATTCCCTGTCAGATTTTCAAAAATTTCTAACCATTTATGTCTATTACCACAAAAACAATGCATTAAAGGGAATGTACAACATTGGCTTTTGCTGTAATTTTCAGAAATGAACTATTTGAGGGGTTAGTATAATAGATCAAATATTGTTACACTGACATTTTTGAAGTTTTGTGTTCGAAAAGGTTGGAAAAACCAAGAAAAACAAAAATGTTCAAGTAGTCTGGTTCCCTGACTCCACAGAAGATAAAATGGATCAATTTATAGATGATGGAAAATTGTATTAAGGCAAGGGAACCAGTCTAGCTGGCCTGCACCCGTTCATGAACATGTAACAAATAGCAAACAAAATTTGGGCTGAAAAAATTGTAAATTTGGAGCAGTAGTTGAAAAATAGTTAGGTTTTTCCAACGCTGGTCGGCCGACCACCGTTGGAAATGTATACAAAAATACCATTTTCTTGAAAATGACTTCACACCAGGTGCCATAATTTTACAAGATGCTTGAGACTGTCATTTACCAACATCCTAGTAAGGTATTTCATAAAAACTTGGTAGTTTTATTTTTCGATGTTTGCAAATGTTGTATATTCCCTTTAAGTCAAATGTGTAAGGTCAGTATATTCTAAGCTAATAGATATCTTTTAAATGACTTCACTGCCTACAGATTGTCACGTGCATCAGCATTTTGGGAGTCAAATTTTCATGACGCGCAATTGGCTGTGCCTTATTTCGAAGAAATTTCGAGCAACATGTGCGAGTGTTAAGAACATTTTGCACACTGCGCGCACACGTACGGTACCTACCGGTACTTTATATGGCATTGAATACGAATAATTTGCCTACAAAGATGGCTGTCTGTGACAGGGGTCTATATACCTAACGCGTTGCGAGTGTCTCAGAGGGTGTTTTTTGTTAATTCAATTTGGTAACATATTTTACTCATGCCTACCCACACTATACAAAACCATTTGTTCTTTTGTCTAAGTCTGCTTCAATGAGGTCTATGAAGGCACAACTGACAGCTCAAACCTAACTGTACTGGTTTATTAAGTGCAAGCTGGTCTTGTGTGTAACTCACAATGCCACAATTGACATTTGACCTGACTAATCCAACCAACATGAACAGTATTCTCTAGGTACAGGTATACATCATGTAATGAGGTGAAGGTCCTTTACAATGTAGCACTTCAAAGCTAAAACATCCTCCCATCAAAATCCCAGGGTGGATACTCCTTGAAGCCCAAGCCAATCTCAATACACTCTTGGTACGGTAGGAAATACAACTCCTGCAACCAAGTCTACAGTGAAATAATGCACAAGGCTACAAGTGCCCATAAAGAATGTAGTATGTTTCCACATACTGTACATTTACAGGCCCGAACCTCCCTGTTTAACAATAGGAGACCTTTTCAATTGTCCACCCGGTTGTTTTTTTCCTTCTTCTCAAAAGTTAACAATAACAAGCAGAACTTTTTTTCTGAGGGCGGCAAGGGCGTCAATCGCTTCTCAAAAGTGGGGGGGGGGGGGGAGGGGACATACCTTTAGCAGAACTACATGTAATGGGAGTGCGAAGCCCTAACTGTGTGGGGTTCGGGCCCACATTTTCGGATTCTAGACACTTTGTGGTGCAATCGGAAGCCATTTATGACCACTTTAACCATTTTTTTGGGGGGGGGGGGCAATAGATCATCATTTAAACAAGTCTGGAGTTATTGAATCAGCTATTCTGCTCTATAGAATCAAACGTACGCTACAACTTTATTGGGGATGAAAAAGGGGGGGGGACAAATGATATGATACCCCCCCTTCAAAAAAAGTGGGGACATGTTGCCCCCCCCCCACTATGTACTTGTGTGGAACAAATTGAACAAGTCTGTACTCATAGACTCATACCAATAAAATGTATGGAATGAGGAAAGTGTGGGGCAATAATACAGTCATTTCAGTTGGCACAACCCAGCTAGAGATGTGTAAACAAACAACCCTGATATGATTTTGTGTGAGCTACATGTACGTGCACAGTGAAGTAACTAAATATAAAAAAAAATTAGAAGGCGTGTAAATTTCCTTCTAAAGGAGCATTTATAACAAAATGTGGAATCTACTTCAATATTGACTTCCCGAGGACACTCTGGCGTCCGGACTGAACAATATACCACCTGCATTTGTTGTACAGTACTATGTAAGACGTACACAGCATCATCAGTGATTCAACTGCACCCAAACATAGGAAATTATCTTTTGAATACAGTCTGTTCCAAAAAGCAGACCTACATATTCAATACACGACTCATAAAATTTGTTTTTCATATGGAGTTTTCCCATCACCATAATGCACTCTAGATAACAAGGTAGTGTGAAACTTTCTCAAAGGATGCAGTAAAAAAAACTGTTCAATTCAGATGTACATTCGGTGGTTTGATGAGACCGTCCCTAAGTGTCCTCCAGCCTTTTTTGTGGGGCAGGGGAAATACCTGGCATACCAGGTCTGCATATAAAGTCAGTGGAGACCGAGGAAGGGACATGCTCGGGATACAAGCTGGGAAGACAATTTGTCATGTGTCATGACCGTGGTGCCTACATCCCCAACATCATTATCATTACTAAGAGACCAGTTTCTCGATTGCTTCAATTCTCGACCCCGCCCACCTCCTTATATTTTTTTTTCATAAATTTGTTTTGTTTTGGGGTCATCTGCAATATATTTTATCTTTTTATTCGATAAATGTGTTTCTGTGCATGCAAGTTCCAAATCTGGTAAAAAGGTGAGGAGGTTGGAAAAGGGTGACTGACGGCTCCTTTGGACAAAAAAACATCGGAACAAGAATGGTGAAAATGGATGACTCCATCCAGTCACCATCTTGGAAAATCTGCCAATATTAGGGCAAGACAAAAAAAAGGGCTTCCTTCTTTTATTTTCAAAAAGCCCAGATGAGGATTTAATTGGGTTTTTTTTTAGCTTGGCCTTAAAGTTATAGGGAAAGGGATGATCTTGCTGTGGGATGTTACACAGGGGCAAATTTCATTGAACTGTTTCAGAAAGCACAGTAATCTGCTATGCATAGAAAATATGTGAGGTGTTCTGGCAAAATGAGATAAACTGGGCACAGGCCATAGTGCTAAATATGCCAAACCAAATGGGGGTGATTTTTAAAAAATATTTTGAGGGCTTTTCAGATTTGTTGATATTTGTAATCTTCGATATGTCTACACATAAAGAAATAGTATAAGAATGGTTTAATACAAGTGTTTTTGAGGGAAAATAATTGGCATTTTGTATGACTACAAAACTCGAAAATTTAAAGGCCTTTTTCTCAATACTTTACTTTTTGAACATGTCGATATCTGCAAACTTTAAACAGCCATAACTTATCAATGGAAAGTCAGATTAAAGTGCAACAAACAAAAGAGAATTATTCTCTTTCCTAATACCTGCAAACCCTCATTTCGACCTCTGCCCAGTTCTGTCTCATTTTGCCAGAATGCCTAACATGTTTGCTTACAAAAAACTGGTAACCAGCCAAAGTGTATGTACATGTACATTTACATTGCTCGTAACTGGTCCTCTGCTGATTTCTGCTAAACACATCAAGCACACATTTGCTTACCCTTATTTCTGCTTACAGCTATAATAAACCCTGGCACTGGTCTGTGGACCAGCAGACTGAGTTGTCTGTAACGATAACTGCCATGGATGGACCCCCATTCATAAAGCCGGAGCAGGAATGCTATGTGGACAATCCAGTGTTTGGACAATATCTGTTTATACAATGTTGATCAGTGTGGAAAGGAATGTCCGGACACAAAATGCACAAAGCTACATGCATTCTGTGTACACTGCCACAGAGGTGAAATTGGGAGTGAAAACTGCCAGTCCATTTTCAGCTGTTGAAGTTCATGCATTGGGTGCAAATT